AATTCCCTAACATTGGTGCTATCTAGAAAAAAAATCAACTTATGTGTCTTGGTTTCCTCATCTGTTCGATGAATGGAGCTAATAACTAAAATAAAGGATAGCTACACAAAGTGGTAAGTCACTGCCCTCAGTTTATCCTTTATAGAGGATACAGTGATAGATTTCCATGCTTACGATATGGAGTTTATAAACAGAATCACTTGGTTTTCTTAAACACTATGAGTAATAAATGACATGTACATAGCAGTCTTACAGTATCACATTTTTACAATTTCATGGAATTTTTTGTAATGTATTTGGCACAAAGTCTACAAGGTCTCACTACGTAGATTGAACTCATAGTGATTCTCCTGTTATCAGCCTCCCAAGTGCTGGGATTACGGGTGCATGCCGCCATGCCCAGTCTCAATTTCCTGGAATGTTAATGGCTATTTTGTGATGGTAGGGTCTTTTCATGTTGCCTGAGAAAATTATGCGCAAGAGGGAACTAAGGTTCATGAATATTAAGTGACTTAAATACATAAAAACATTTAAACTCAGCCATAACTCTTCAAAACTTAAGCTCATTTGTTCCCTATAAACTAGTATAGGTCATATAGATCACTACTATACAGTGGACACCACTGGTCCTATACACTGGTACTATGTGGTAGCATACTGGTAAATACTTATGACAAAGAAGAACTCTCAGGAATGCTGAAGCAATTGAACATATGCTCACCTACTAATGCAATTCTCCAACAAACATGAAAGGAAAAGTATATGGTTATCTCAACAGATGTTTTACAGGAATTTCATAAAATTCAACTCAAATTCTTAATAAAAGTCACAGTAGATTGTAAAAGCATGCTGTAATAGCATAGCAAAGACTATGAGATCGCACTATAATATTTATATGTAATGGTGAAGAATCTTAACTGCAACAGTGAACTTGAAGCCTGAGGCAATGCAATAAGATACAGTTTAATGGGTATAGATAATTCAGTGAACAAAAAGTCTCAAAAATTACTTTAAACAATCATAGATTATAATATGGTTAAGAAATCATACCACAGATATATATATATATATATATATATATATATATATATATGGAGCAGTGCTTTCCTACACATTTAAAAACTATAATAGAAAACTAATTCCATATGTATTAGAAAAAGAAAAACGCTGAAACCCCAAAAAGAAATCAAATAAGCTAGAAACAGGAATAAATTCAATCAGAAATGCATAGTTCTTGGATGTGTCTGCCCACTGGAGAGTCCTGCTGGAGCCTGGGACAACTGGGGAAGCAGCTCCTCCACCCCCAAATGAGGCCATGGCTGTCCAGGGACCATGCAGGAGCCGGAATGACTAGGAAACTGAGACCTCCTACCTCTAGTCCCTGGGTTCTCCACAGCACAGGGGAACCAAGGTAATGACCCATAGACTCACCTGATTGAAGAGGAGACCAAAACTTGGGAGGAGAGTCTCCCTTCAGGACAGAAGTGGTCTCTTCAACAGAGACTGGGTGAATTACAGTCTTGGGAGATATGCTTGGAGAAGGTGAGAGCCAAATAGGGATTTTCAAGGGTCCTGTGGAGGCCCGAGACCAGGAAGATCATGGGGCTTGTATTCCACTGTGGGAGGCCAAGCTGGTGAAAGAAATGATCAGATGGGGTGGTCCTAGAGAAGAGGCATTTAACCTAGAAGTATGTTTGAGCTCTGGCTCTCCTGCCAACATCCAACAAAAATCAGCACTCTGAACTACTATAGGGCAAGATGGGGGTGGGGCTGATTGTCATAACTAAAATCAGGGTCCCCTTTGTTTTGTTGAAGAGCTATATATGAGTGGTTCCCAAGGTTTGTCAATATCCATTTGACATTTGATGCCATTGTTGTCCCTGAATTTGGTACAACAGGCAATGTAACATAGTAGACAGTAATTGTTTTTCACTCTATGCTAGTACCTAGATTGCTTGGGAGTCAAGTAATGCTGTGGCTCACTCCCAAAGAGTGAGGCGCTGGGCCAAAACATTTGCAATTCACACATCTTAGCTACTTTCTTTCCTTTTTTAAATGTATTTGGTACAGGGTCTCACTACACAGCTTGGACTCATAGTGCTCCTGTTTTCAGCCTCCCCAGTGCTGGGTCTCTACTTTTCTTTCATTGCTAAGGCAAAATACCCAACAACCAAAGTTAAAGCACAAAAGGTTTCTTTAGCTCACAGTTGGTTAGGTTTCAGTCTATAATCAACTGGTGCCAAGGCAGGGTGGCTTCAAAGAGGATAATAGTTCATGACAGGCAGAAAGTAGCAAAAGCAGCAAGGAAGGGAGGGGCGAGGCAAGCCTCTTTCTGTC